TTAAACATCGGAAAGTCAAGAAAGCTTTGAAGCAGCAGACAGGATGTGTTTACTTTGTCAATATTCAGCCAAAATCATGATCTCGGACCAGCCTCTCTGTTGCCTGAGCGTAAGCACGCACAATACAGTTGTACAATGTCAACAAGATTGTCAAAACCGGTTTGCAATGAAGGAACCGGTGAAGAGCTGTCCACTATTGTGCTGCTAACTGAACTCCAATCACTGTTTTCCAGGGAGATACCAGAAACAGATCTAGAAGATTTAAAACAAGGTGACTTCATCGTAGTCGTGCAGAGACGGGGCTCTGCCGGATCAGTGTGACACACTTCACCTCTCAGTCTAGTCCTCTTACTGCTCATTACTGTCTCAGGCAGTTGATTTAAAAAAAAATGTCCCTGCTGTTAAGAATTGTATAAAATGGCTTTGCTGGGACACGTCGGCCTTTTCAAATGACAGAAGTGCTACGAGCTTTCCAACAAAGTGCTTCCCCTGCTCATGACTTTAAAATTCTCCCTTAAATCCATGAAATAATGGTGCACAAGATAATACTTCGTCCAGAGCTCTTCGTCCAGTGTGTAGTAGAACGAAAAATAATCCAAAACAGACCCAGGACATGCAAGAAATATAAGACAACGGCACAAAATCATTTGCAATCATGGCCCAACACCGGCTCAGTTTGCATCCAAAATGCCGTTCAGACTGATGACCCAGCAGCACGGCAGCAATCTGCTCATGTTCTGTAACAGCAAATGTTTAGCTCACACTCCTCCGCTCTGCGCATCTTTACTCTCCGACTTGAATCAACAACATCACAAGTGTAGCAAATCCCGTCAGCGACACGACTCCTCTTTGTCATGGAGGTGTTCGTGGTTTGTAGCCGTCTGTCAGTGTTTGTGCATAATTATGAACTGGCAGCGTGTCATTTCACAATCTGAGAGGAGAATCGCTCAACGCTTGTTGTGAAAGCCGAAGCCAAACAGCAGCTTTCTCTGGTGACACGTTTGGTTACTATCCTTCTCTCGAATCCATGTCCAGGGCGTTTCATGAAACAGGCATGAATGTTGTTGCCTGAACCCTTCGGACAATGTTTTCCAACAGTACATTGTGGAATCAGCACCGATCGGACAATCTATTTTCCTACAGGAACAAACAATTAGCGACAGTCAGGACCATGCCAGTGATTTAGCATGTTTTATCTCCAAATCACATAAACTGCAGATTAATAGGCTGGTGATGATATTTGTGTTGCAAACAAATCCCATGTGTCGTTGGTAACAAGTATTAAGTATAATTAGAGCTCCATTGTCAAATACATCAGTGAGAAACACTGTTGCACTGGCTGGTGTGTTCCTTCATCACACACACACACACACTCACGCTAAGACTCCCATCTTCATTTGGAACCAATGAGCTGAGAGCCGCAGGTGGGGAAGAGAATGAGAACGTATTGAGAGACAGAATGTGTCGGCTTTGGTCTTTTCATGGGAAAAATACAAAAGACCATCCTTATCCTTTAAAATAAAGTCATGTCTGCTTCATATGTCTCGGGGTTAAGATCTAGTCCCTGTTTTATTAGAATTATTTCAGTAACTCACTGGGGGGGGGAAGCAGAGATTAGAAGGCTGTCTGCAAAGTATTTATTTTTAATTTTGCTGTGTTGTTCTGGCAGTCGGTCTCATTCGGCTGTCGTCTTTCTATTTATCTTGATTCCCTGAGTATCTTTTCAAACGACTGCTGTTCAAAATCTCCTGGCTGACACTTGGACATTTTTTTTAAAGATCCAACGTCATTCTTGTTCATGTAGGAAATAAGTAATTATATATAGGGTGCTATGCCACATGTCGATTGTATGTATTGCATAGTATGTTTGCTTTTTATGCAAACCTCATGGTGCAATAAACAGCTATAAGACTAAAGGTTCTCTGTTAAAGGGAGGGGTGTTATGTTATCAAGCAACAGATGAGGTTTATTTGACTATCAGTGATATCTGTATTAATAAGTGCCTTCATTTATTGAACTCAGACCAACTTTTTTTTATTAAAATAACCCATTTACAAGAGACTACTATCTCAGGTTGGTCACGAAAAATAGCAGATATTTAAAAATCACAGCAGTTCAGTGTGGAATGGTAATAGCTAATTCATGAATTTTAATTTTGGGGAATAAAGACGTAAAAGAAGAGTTTAAATCCTGGTTGACTGAATTAAGCAGTCTGCTGCTGCACTTGACTGGTTGCAGTGTACTCGCTTATTAAGATCCTCGACACAGTGAAGGTTTTGAACAAATTTAATGAAAGGTAATGTGTGCATTGTTTAATTTCGTATGCAAAGACTTTTAGTACATTTGATTTGACTGTATTCATGAGAAGGGTCACTGAAAGACAGAGTACTCTGTATGTTCTCACATGCTTGACCGATGAGACTGATTCTAAAAGAGACCAAAGCTGTAGCCACTACAGGAGACGATGCTTTAAATACACAACAAAGAAGCTGCAGATTCTTAAACATGGATACTTCACATACATCTTTAACCTGCGACACACTTTAAGATGGGAGCCCAAGATTATTGCCAGCAGATCAGTATCAGAGTAATATGGTCCCACTCTCTCCTTCTGTTCCTAAGTTATGATGAATAACAAAAATTGGATTATTGAATAAAAGACCAGAAAGGTGTTTGTATTTGCGGAACATTATAATGTCACAGCGGAGATGATATTTGAACTGTTGGATATAAGATTTTGATACATTTTAATCCCATTAGACAATTATGCAAATATTTGCTTATTCATAGTGACCTTGTCCGGTGACCAAAACCCTCAGTTCATACCTGAGTGTAAAAAACGTTATTATTAAATGGAAAACAATGGGGAGCAAAATTATGCAACCTGTTTCTGGAAAAGAATGGAATGGACATTCAAACATATGCACGGGCACACGAAGGAACAACCCAGGAACATAAACCTCTGGCCAAGAATATCATAAAGGCATAAAAACAGATTTTATGGAGCTAGGAATTGTTGTTTAAGGATACATGGAATCCATATTTTCCCATCTTAGCTAGAACTGGTACCTGTGTTTTTCATATTTATTAATGTTTATTGCTTCAACACAATTGACTTTATTTCACTCTTGTGCAGGTTAATATTATATTGTCATATAATTCGTGTAATTCTGTCGAATCAGATGTGACCTGGTTACTGGTGAGTTGTGAACTGTGTTTGAACAGCAAGCAAACAGAGACATAATGGATGTGTGCAATGATCTACTGGATAAAGTTCCACTTCAGTCCAATATTTTTTCTTTATCTGTTTTATATATATTGCTATATTTTAACCTTTCTTTGTCTGCTCTCTATGTGGCAATATAGACGGGAATAGATGGCACAGGTGAGGGTTTTGTTATGTTTTGACATATACTTTAAAAATAATTCAAGAAACATGTTTGAATAAGAAGGATTCAAGCTAAAAATATGTTACAGACTCACAGTAGAATGCTTGTAAAGTTGAGAACTGATCCCGGGTCGTTGAGAGTTTAAGATGAACTAACCGCCCACCCATCTACCCTGAGTCTCACTCTCATTCCTCTGCACTTTTTCACTGCGAAACTGCAGTCTGTTTCCTCGACATTCCTCTTTTCATGTCATTCTTTCAAAGACCCCCCCAACTCTCACTTCTCGCACATGCAAGCTTCATATTTGCATACACGTTTGCTTTCTAAGACATCATCATCATTTCCTCTGAATTTTCAGGAGACCAGCTGGTTCCCAAGCAGCATCTCTCACACAGTCTTTACTCTGTTCTCATTCAAACTGCAGCACTGCAAGACACACACACACACACACACACACTCACACACAGAGAGCAGCTTTCATTTCAAAGAGCCTTGCATGATAAGAAATGCGGGCAACAATGTGATGTCTGCATCAATAGGCCACTTCAGCCCAACATCCAAAAGTCACGTGGGATCAAACCCACATCAAAGCCTGTCCGATGCCACAGTGAGAGCCGAGCAACAATGGAACAATAATTAAAGCCACATGGATATCCATCCACCCCTCCATCACACACACACACACACACACATCTCTTTGTCGCAGGAATAGAAGGAGCACCATTTGATGCCTGTCACGACAACACACCAACCCTTTCAAATCTTGAAACGCAGCTACCTGCCACACAATATGTAAGCTAGTCATTTCTATTCATTTGAATGCAGTAAACACTTTCATCCATTAAGCAGCCGATCATTATTTGGGGCTGAGTGCTGTCATAACCAGCACTAATGCAACAGAAAAATAACAAAATGCCAAAGTACTTCCAATGCACTGTTTAATGAGGCAATATACAAGAATCTGCTTTGGCTGTATTGATTCAGACATGTTTTATCCATTCATGAATAATCCGGCTCATTTACTTCATTTATCGTGTAATTAATATCCAGAACGAGCTCATTTTTTATTTTGCTTTTTTCACAGTAGTCTTTGATTAATGAACTTGGCTTTTTTTCTCCCTTCACTGCTCCTTGTTCAGTGCGTGGTGGAATTATTTTAACTGTTTGAGGGAAAGAAGGGACATCCAATCTAAAAACATCAAATCTGTGATGTTTCACAAATCCAATTGTGGGAGGTTTGATCCGAATTTAAATTCACAACAGTAATTTCGAATTAGAAAATAATTTGTCTCTGTGGAGATGAACATTTATCATTGTTTTGAGGGTAGAATATACGTTTCTGATATCCTCAATGCAGCAGCAGTATTTGAAGGTTACCACATGCTACTTTCTCTGCGAGACAGTACGTGAGCAAAAGTTCCAGCACGAGTTCCTGACATTTTCTTCAGGGCTTCTACACGAGAAAGACTCTGGTGACATAAGTGCTTGTGCGTAATTGCGCGGAAATATGTTGGATGCCCTTTTTCCCTTCATGAGTGGATGTGCTTTAGAACATGAATGGCACAGGTCATGACGGAGGAAGGAGAAGAATAAAAAGAAGGTCCCCTGTACCTCGTCAGCATCGACGTCCTCCTCGCTGTCACTGGGTTCTGGCGTTTTCACGAACCACCACTGGATCTCCAAATACACAGACGCGGTTCCGCTCTGGAACGCGCACGCCATTTCTATGTTTTGTCCCTCTTTAACCGTCATGTTGGAGGGCATATCCGTGAAGCGACCTGCAGATGAGAGAGGGGAGAGAGGTGGGAGGGGGTGCATTGGGGGTTGGGGGATTATCGCTCTAATGATCGGCTTGTGGCTGCAGTCAGTCATGACGGTAGCGGGCAACGCTGCCACAGCAGCCGTGATAAAGGAACCAAGCGCTTTGATTGTGTTGCATTCTTCTTCTAATTGAAGGAGATGACGGGGGTCTCCCGGCGAGATGCCACAGATACTGACTGACGCGTCTTTATCTGGAATTTACATAACGCACAGTGGCACCATATTCATTTTTTTCGTTTTGCATCATTCCGTGGCTTCGCCAAAAGCTAGATAAACTTCCCTGTACGCCAGGGCTGACACATTAAAGCCCAAAGTGAAAAACACCAGACATACTGATGGAGTTTGGTTTGAGAGAGGCTGAAAGGAGAATACAGGCTGAAAGGAGATCGGAGACGACGGTGCATGGTGTATAGGGGAGGAAGAAGCGTGAGGACGTTCATGCATGCAAACTTCCACACCAACCACCGTTTACATTCGATGTAGAGAAGAATAAACTGTTCTGGTTGTGAGTTAATGGTTTGGTTTGGGATTCGGGAGAGCAGCTTGAAGGAGGAAGAAGAGGAGCACACGCAGTTTGAAAGTAACCTGCGATGAAGGACCGGCTCTGGACCGTCGCTTTTCAGGACCACGGACAGCCGCAGTCAGCAGCAACAGCAGCTGTCCGTGGTGCTGAAAGCATCGCTTTTCCTCCGAACTCGCTGTTCCAGTAAACTTCTGTCTCTTAATGTCCGCAGCCTGTTCTCCAGCACGGACCCCAGCAGCTGCTCGTCCCCATCCACACGAAGCCAAACCACTCGATTTCAAGCAATCACCAGTTGCATTTTCTCGCCGTCACCGTCCCCCGCTTTTTCATGGCGAGCTCGCTTTTCCCTCACTGCGCTTCTAACAATCCATCTTACTTAAAACATGTCCCCTCCTGCGCTTTTCCACAAAGGCTGCGCACTTTTAACACTTTCTTCAACCGAGCAGATTCCGCCGTGCAAGGGGGCGACCACACTGCTATAGACTGAAGAGAGAAGAAAAAAAATATATATATACGTGTATGTGCGATTCTTACCTTCGAAGGAGAATCCGAATTGCACGCAAAAACCGGCTAAGAAAACAAATCCAACAGTATCATGAGAGGTCCACATCATTCCAATATAGATGGCAGGATGTTTTTTACATCAGCCGAAGGAAGAAAAATACGAATCTTTCCCCTGCAAAATAAAAAAATTAAGCCAACACACCAGCAAAAGTCAAACAGTCGCTGAGCGGATTTGTTTAAACGGAGATTGCCGAAGGTGGAACATGCTGCAAAAACCAGAGCTCGTCGTTGCTGAAGGAGTTTCTTGTTTTTTTGTTTTTTTAAAATATTTTAATTTCCCCTCTGCTCCTCTGCGTGTCTCTGCAGGAGAGACTGTCGACTGCTCGGCTGCACTGAGGTCTGTGGAATAGCCGGGCTGCGGTGTAGACACGTCAGTCTAGTGGATCACTGTGGAATCCGCACGCTCCGCACACCTCTGCAAATCCAGTCCTCCGCCGGCCCACCGCTGTCACCTTGACCGCTTGATTCAAAAATGCGCCGCGCGTTCCTGCGACACAGAGAGAAGAAGAAACAAATCACCGCATCCTAATGAGGGGGTGGTGGTTTGAGGTGGAGTTTTCTCTTTGTGCCTTTGTATTTAATTTCAATGCTTTTTGCGCTGTACTTTAGTTTTTTTTCTTGAAAGATAAGATGCGTTGAATGCTCATTTAACAGCAGCCAAAGGAGCAGAATAGACCGCAGCCCCAGTCAAAGCCATGAAAGTCTATCACACAAAGAAGTGTGGCGTATTTAGAGGGTTATGCAGTCAGTCCCACAGCCAGAAGCTATAAAGCAATATTTTAGAAAGGGGGGGTGGGGGGGGGGGACAGCGACCCAGCAAGTGCAGGGCGAGCACAGCACGTCCAGAGTCATTAAGATAGAAGAGACCCTGCTGGACTATTATTGGTCTCCTGGGCAGACTGGGAACACTCTGCCCTTTGTTACATTGGGCACAAATCGTGCCACTCCTAATATTTGCTCTTAATTGATTCAGAGACCAATCAGGGATCATCCTTCTGGGACGGAGAGGTTTTTCTCCTCCATCAACACCAGTGTGTGTGTGCAGAGGTGTTAAAGAGACTGGTCTAAAGTCAGCTGGATAATCACTGGTCCCAGCTGTCATCTGGTTCACAGCACACTCAAGTCTGCTCTAGTGTGGGTTTGATGTAAGAATACAATGGTTTCATTGGTCTTTTGTTTTACACAGACAGATATCTGTGCAAAACAACTAAAGTAAAGTGTTCACAGCAATTTTAGGAGTAAATTCATTTAAAACTTGCAATCAGAGGTGGTAAAAGTACACATATTCTACTCATTTAGACGAGTAAAGCTGTTCAGGTCATGTTTTTATTATTTCTATTGTTCAGTATTTGTCTTCCTGTTTTATTTTGTATAATTGTCTCATTTCAGATCTGTACTTCCTGCTTGTGTGATGGACCCACCGTGTACAGAACCTTGGGCTGATCAGAACAATGTTTTTTTTTTTACCTAATTCCTGCATCGTGCATTAGAGTCCTTTTTATCTGCCAGGTTGATGAGAAGTACACATTCTTGTTGTGTTCAAAATCACTTGATTTTTAACACTTATCAGTATAAGTACTGATTCAACAACTTTACTTTAGTTAAAGTGTGAAGGTACAGGTTCTGAAACGTAGTACAAGTGTAAACGTTAAACTATTTCTTCCGGCTGTGTCTCTGAAAAGCAAACTTAGACGCCTCTCTCATTAATATAATTCAAAGACTATTTGACTTGAACCACTCTCACTTTAAATAAATTAAAAAACATAAACTGAAAACAGCAAGAACATATATTTATTTGTGAGCATGAAACTATCCAGGAGCAAATGTATTCTTGATTTAAATGAGGCCAGGGATGGAACATTGGTTGCTCACTTTTGTCGTATATGAACGTCATCAGTAATGTTGGCTAATTCTTTTCTTTCTCTCATGTCCTCCTTTTCTCAGACATATGCGCTGCACCTCTTCTCTGCACTTGAGTTTCCCTCTCTTGTGGGTTTTATCTTGATACGTCCTTTACACTGTGCCATGTATGCACTGATAGATACAGAACAAGGAATCGTCTTTTCTGTGAAATTGAATATTTTGGTTGAAATATGTTGGAGAGGCAGAACCCGATCATGCAAAATGAAAAAAAAAAAAGATAATTCCCCTCAAAAGCATTAAAGAAACATAGTGAGGAGCCTATTTTGAAAATTCAAGGAGTTCAGATATTTTTGTTAAAATGTATGAGTAAAAATGAAAAATATGAAATAAATACTCAAGTAAAGTACAGAAACTATAATCTACTTGAGTTCTGTAACAAAATATAAACATTCTGTATAAATACTTTGTTACAGTACTAAAGCAGAGGTGGGGAGTAAGTTGTCTTGTATTATATGAATTCTTTCATTAAAATTTACAAGTAAATTCAAGCTAAATATCTCTTTGTTGTTAATCAGTCATTTTGCTTGAGTATTTTCGGGACATTTCCTGCTTTTATTTTGACAGCATTGATATTAGAGTGGAGACAGGTCATGAGGGTTGAATGATGAGGGAGGACATAAAAAAAAGTTTCGCAGCTGGACTCCAACGATTTAGGACTCTTTGCAGTCACTGTGGACTCAATGAACAATTACAGCAGCCAGTAACCCAGTAAATGTATTACAAATGAGCATGTCAATATTATTTAAATATATACTTGAATAATATGAGCCTATTCTTTAATTCCTAAATGAGGAGGGAGAACGAAAACCGTATCCCATATGACTATTATTACAGCCTATTGATAAACACGCATCCACAGCAGATTCACAGTAGCCCGTGTGTGTGGAAGTTACAGCTGTCAATAGCTGACCTAAAATGTGCATTTGTATTTTAAATGACTGTAATTGGCGACATCAGACACATAATCAGCCTGATGCTGACGTGCTTTGTTTTCAGAGTAGACCCCGCGAGACAAGAAATGAATAAAACACTGTCAACAAGGTCACCTTGAAAGAACACACATATGTCTGAAAGGAACTGCACTGCATGGCTCTGGGTGTAGTTTGGATTTTGTACTTGTGACATGCTGATATTCCCTTTTATCCCTGCGCTGATATATTTGTCCACTTTTGTCCGATTAAAAAGATGAACTCAGTGTTGGATGATGAGCAAAAAGAAAGCACACGATGTGGTTTGTGTTCCTGTGTCTTTCCACTGCTTCAATCCTTGTGCTCCTCTTTCTCAAACCAAAAAATGCCAAACAGCTTTATCAGCATGATGCGTGGCTGGTCTGTTGTGAGCAGAGGCAGGGGTGTCCACACGTTATTGTCCAGCCACAAAACCCTGGGCTGGTTTGGGGAAAAAAGGAGATGTGGGTACTGACTGACCCTGTTTTCAAGTCAGAAGATACTCAGATCATCTGAAATATCACACCTTAAAACAAATCAAGCACAGAAACAAATATAGATATATATTTCTTATGATTGTGAGTGAGTTTGAGAGTGTTTCAGGCATTGTGTCCCTTTTAAACTTCTTTGTCCTCAGTGCAAATTAGTATTTAATCAATTAATTAACATAATACAAACTAATTGCCATGGAGCAAACCCTGAACATTTGATTCCAAGGACAGTTGCTGATACCGCAGCCATAAAATACTTAATTTGCTATAACAATGCTATGGTTAAGGTTTGGTTAGGTTTAGGCACAGTGTTTTGGTAAAGAAAATAGTTTGGGTTAAAGTAAGAACAATCAATCATCAATCAATTTTTTTATAGTCACAATTTGTCATAGGGCTTAACAAGTGCAACATCCTCTGTCCTTAACGCTCAGCAAGAGTGAGGAAAACTAAAGAAAACAACAAAAGGAAGATGTGAGAGACTCATTGGTGAGAAAAGACAGTGTCCATGTATGGAGAAGTGAAGCAAAGTTTAAAATAATAGCAAAAAAAAAGTGTTTAAGGCAGCAATAATACATTTTTTTATGATATTTGGTATTTGCATATAAATTGGTATCGCCCATAATGGTAGTAATCTCATCTGTGAGTAGTTTATTGTATATCTAAGCAATTTAGTTGTAATCATAATCCATGATCAGCTACCACCATGATCCACGATGTGGGTGCAACAGCGATCCTGGGTTGGGGGAGGGGGGCCTTTGTGATACTGGCTACAATAATAAGCACATGGGTAAACTGATGGACTGATGGTCATGGTTTAAAGGAACCAGTGGTGCCAGGAAACTGTTTGATGCTTTGTTGATCCTCCCTCCCAACCCGGCCTCCTCCCTCCGCAGACGTGTCACGCTACAGTAATGTCACCTGACTTCTCCCATCATGATTCCTACAGGCACTAGAGGGCTGCTGAAACAGTGGACGCTGCTGTTCCTCTTGAAGAAGGTCTCCAAAGGTTATGTCCTGTTGTGCTTTACATGGGGAATGTGCTGGTTTTTTTGGCATCTGCGGTTGAGATTTCATTCTATGCAGTAAAACAAAAAAACATGAATGATTTTATGGGTATACAAAAGGTTGTTTCCATTATTTTTAATGCGATAGCCCCATATTTTACAATGTATACACTGAAAAGTCTATTTAAAAATTATGTTTAAAAGTGAGAGCAATCTGAATTTATCGTTTATTCTTTTTAAAAATTTGTTCCTGTCTGTTTACAAATGGCTTCAACTGCCCTGACCTTCATGGCGCAAACTAAAACTTGCAGACAACATTAACTGACCAATTAACTGAATAAATAAAGCATTAAATTTCTGCGCCTCGTGGGGAAAAGAGGTGATTCCGACAATTGACCCGAGTATCTCTATAATCCTGGCTGCTGCCTTGATGTATTTTTTCACTTCCTAATGGGGTTTGAGAGAGAACGTTCATATCTGCAGTGTCGTGTCATTTCGGTTGCTATCTTGATGTTTTCAGCTGTTGCAGACACTGATCATTAGAGGGAAAAAAAACAAAAAAAAAACACCCTTCACAACGAAGCAGTGTCACCTCTTCTGCAGCAGACCTCCTTCACGAAATACCATCTGCCCTGTCAGTACAATAGCCATTAGGCAGTGAAACCACAGTTTAGCTGGTTCCCTGCCAGCATGCATTTTGTCAGCCTGAGCACACTCCACGAGCCTTGCTGAGTGCAACAGAGTGCATCAAAAAATAATTAAACACTTTTTCCAGGGTGATGATGCAAGCAGTAATTAATTGCCTTTGCATTCAGTAATGTTCATTAATGTGACTGCCACAATAATAATGCCTTCTACCAAATAGTCTCATCTCTTGCTTTCTTGCTTCCCAAGGTTCCATGGCCATAATATCTGCTCATGGAGAACAACCAGCATATCAATAAGGCCCCGAACCCCAAAGTAGCCAATGTAGCAGTATACAGCGAGCAAACTGAAGTACAGGAGGGAACATTATATATGATTAAAAATAAAAAGTACTTCATTCAAGTTCCCTGCTTATTTTGTGCTTTGCTATTTTAATCTTCTTTTTTCACCCCCCAAAGGCGGATACTTCTTCCGTTCGTCTTATCATCATCAA